GGCCTTTGCACATGCTGTTTCTTCCTTCAATGTTCTTCCCTCCCCTCATTCACCTGTTAATGCCTACACAAATGTCACTTCCTCAAGGAAGTCTTTCCTGACCCTAGTTAAGATCAGGTACCTTGTGGTATGATCTTACAGCTCCCTGATCTCTCCATCAGAGCAAGTAATACTTAATGTAAAGATTAATTTCTTAGTATTAATGTCAGACTTTCGCAGGAGACTGTAAACTCCATGAGGGCAAGACTTGCCATTGTGTGAGTTACCATTGTGTCCTCAGAGTCATGTGCCTAGTACATAGTAGGTATTTAACAAACATTCATTGAATGAATGAATGAATGGTTGGATTAATTTTGTGCCTCTCCTACTGTCCAGTGGCACCCACAAACTCTGCCAGGCCCCAGACACTGATTGGCCAGGCTGCGGGGCTGCCCCATGCCTAGCAGTGTCCCAGAATAAGACAATCCAGGGCCTTCCCACCTGACTTCTGTTACCACGTCAGGAGTCAGGATTCAGCATTGGAAAGAGAATCACAGAGTGGCCTTGGGATATGTGAGGGGAACAAACCACACAACCTAGAGGATGGAGAGCCACCAGCATCATGCACAAACCTGCACACGCACACACATACACACTCATATATGTGCAGGTAAATGTGTATATCATATGTATACACATATCTGAATGCATGTAGTTGCATTATGTATCTGCACATGTGCGTATGTACACACACATGTGTGTATATTGTATACACATACCCCTGAGTGAGCATAGTTGCAAACACATGTATATGCGCAAGCACACAAAAGCATGCCTGCACACCCCCCCCACAAGCACACCTCACATGCCCACAAATACACATGTGTGGGTGCACACGCACCCCTGCACAGCCCTCCCCTGTGTGGTCACCCCTCAGAGGCCGGGCTCCTGATGACATTCACCCTGCATTCTCCCTCCTTCCAGGAAGCCTTTTCTTTTCTTTTCTTTTCTTTTTTTTGTGGCTGGCCAGTATGGGGATCCAAACCCGCACACGTGTGTATATTGTATACACATACCCCTGAGTGAGCATAGTTGCAAACACATGTACATGCGCAAGCACACAAAAGCATACCTGCATACACCCCCCCCCACAAGCACACCTCACATGCCCACACACAAATACACATGTGGGTGCACACGCAGCCCTGCACAGCCCTCCCCTGTGTGGTCACCCCTCAGAGGCCAGGCTCCTGATGACATTCATCCTGCATCCTCCCTCCTTCCAGGAAGCTTTTCCTTTCCTTTTCTTTTTTTTTGTGGCTGGCCAGTATGGGTATCCAAACCCATGATCTTGGTGTTACAAAGCTGTGCCCAGGAAGCCTTTCCTAATGAAGACAACTCTGGGCTGTCTTGGGACTCCTGCTTCCCTGAACAAAGTGCTCAAATCTCCGTGACCCAGTCTCCACCTCAATGAAAAAGCTCACATAGCTCTGACCCCTGAATGGCTTGGGACCCAGAGAGGTGGAAATTTGCCCGGTGGTGCCAGAGGTTCGTGAGGGTCCAGAGTGTCACCCAAGGACACATGCCTGGAGCAACTCTGTGGCCTGTCCCCTGGGTACTGCAGACTACTTTCCATCTCCTCTCTACCCTTAGCTCTGAACACTGCTGAAAGGACAAGTCTCAGTGTTCCAACACAGAAGTTTCTGGATGGGCAGCCCCGTGGTTAAGAGCTTGTGGCTTGGGATGGGGAATCTTAGTAGGAATCCCAGTTCAGTTACTTACTAGCCCTGAGTCCCTGAGCAAGTTACTTAAACTCCTGAGCCTCAGTTTCCTTATCTGTAAAGTGAGAATGACAATATCTACCTAACATGTTGAAAGTAATGCACATAAAGAACATGGTTACAGTTAGTACTTAATAATGACAGCTGTTATAGCAGTAGTAGTAGCAGCTGTAGTAGAAATAGTAATAGTTGTATCAGTCCTCAGAGGTCATCTCAGCCATCCCCTGCCACTAAGCACGAGTGCCCCAGGCACTAAGTCTGGAAGGGACCACAGATGCATGTTAATCTCTCTTCTCTGTTTTACCACTGAGTTGCTAAGAAAGCAGCAGCTTCTGCCCTACTCACTCAAGTCCACCAGAGCAGAGCTGGGGCACAAGGTCAAGGCTTTGAACTCTAGGTCCACACTCTTTCCCCTCCACCAGTAGAAATTCATTTTGCTGTAACTGGGGGCTCTAAGGCCCCAAAAACCTGGGCTAGGGGGAGCCCAGAGAGCAGGGAGGTGAGGTCTGACCTCTCCACTCCAGCCGGATGCCCAGGCCGGTGGCGACAGCCCCTCCTATTCCAGCTTCCCCACCCCACTGTTAAACTGCTACCTTCCCGCAGGACAGGTGGCCAGCCACAGAAGCAGGGCCATGCTGGGGAGGGGGGCAGGAGAGGCCCTCAAAGCAGGCTCTGCTCCAGCCTTCAGTGTAAATTAAAACATTTTCCTTTTCTTCATAATTTTTTTCTTGACACAACTGCCCATGAAACATTTTAATAACATCCCAGAAAAGGTCAGAGGGAAGGAATTTCACAGTCCCTGAGCAGGCAGCTGTAACTTCAGCCCCTCTTGTGGCAAAGGAGGTGGAGAGATCGGGCTGACTCCGACTCTGAGTGGAGAATGGCAGGGTGGGGGGAGGCGGGGCAGGGTGGTGTGGGTGCTGAGGCCGGGAAACTTTCTCTGGAAGCACCCTGGGGAGATGCGGAGATGATGGGGCGGGGCGGGGTGGGGATCATCCAGGATGTGTTTACATCCTTTTTACAGCAACCTGGGGAGATAGCATGCCCATTGTGCAGGTGAGGAAATGATGGCTCAGAGTGACGCAGACAGACCAGCAGGCAGCAAAGGCAGGGAGACCAGGGCCCACACTGTCTCCCTGCAGGTCCTGAACTCCTGAAGACACACAGTCCTGCTGTGAGAGCTTATTGTTGGGTGAAACAGCCTCTCTATCTTCAGAGTTCCACAAACCCAGGGAGTGGGGTGTTGAGCAGAAGGTGGGTAAGGCTTGGACAAAGGCACCCAGGGACTGGAGCTGGCTGGATCTGTCATCCCTGGGCAGATCCACAGCAGACACAGAGGAGGCTGAGCTCCATCTGCCAAATATGTGGAGGGGGCCTGGGAGAGGGACCAGAGGTGGGTCAGGTGGGTACGTTATGCAGCAGGTACAGGGTCTGCTCCAGCTCTGGATAAAACCTGGTCCATGGGGCTTGGCTCACATCCACCAGAACCTGCTCACCAGTCCAGCCCCAGACTGGATCGGGCCCGACACACCTGTCCTTGGTGCCACCAGCCAAGGGATGTCCCTTGTCATGCTTCACAACTTATCCCTGCTCTGTAGGTTCCCCCATCCCTTCCCTGGGGCCATGGGAACTTTGGACTGCAAAGTGAGAAACTCTGTCCCCAGCAAGAATGCCAGGAAGGAATGCCCTGGTACCCACCAAGCCTGGACCTATCACTAGGATTCTCTGCCATATGGTCCCAGACCTGTGGGGGATGGGGCCTCCACCCACCGTGAGGCCCCTGAAGCACAGGCTACTCTATGCCCTTCACCCTGACATTCAAAGGTGGGTGGTGGGATGAAGACTCTCTTTGAGTCTAGAAGGCCAGAGCCTCTGGCACTTGCTCTCTGGCTGGGCCCAAGAGGCTAGAGGATGGTCCAGGGAGCCTCTAGTACCTTGTGACTTATTGCAGGGAGCACCTTGGTGAAAGCTGGGGGAGCCACAGGCTGGGGAGGCAGGGGGTGGAGAAAACAGATGCAGCAGACTTTATTGTTTGCATCCAACGGTCTGTTGGAAATATTGATAACTGTCAGATGGGAAGGGCCTGGGGGCCCAGTGCAATTTCATACCATCTGTCTGTAGAGTAAACACACTTTGCAGCGAGGCCTGATATCAGCAGGCAGTGTCTCTGCTTGGTGTGGGGATGCAGCAAGAAATGGAAGCAAGGACCCGGGGCCTCCAGTGGGCAGGGAGGGGGCAGCAGTGAGTTCCACTGCATGCATTTATTGAGCACCTACTATGGGCAAGACCCCAAGCTTGTGTAGCAATATCTACCACTTTGATCTGTTCAGCATCCAATCCCCTTTCTTCTTATAATAGAAGTCCTATCCCCATTTTCAGCCTATATAATTTGAATGGGGCCAACCCCAACCCCTGGCTCTACTAGGGGAAGTATAACCCATCCCTGGCATATCAGAATCCCCATGATTGGTTTCAAGATGGCCCAACAAGCTGGGTCAAGGAGAATCAGCTCTGGGACTTTTGCTGGAAGAACTGAAAAGAATTTTTTTCCTTGCTAGAACTGATAAATTGGTAAGAAGTAAGCCTAGAAAGGCTGGGCCTCTCTCTGTCAATACAAAAAGGCAGAGCCCGGTGCTGGAGACCAACTCCTGCTCAATTGAGTGCCTGGATGCAGCCATGCCTGAAATCACTTATACTTTGAGTTACATGAACTGATCCTTTTTGCTTGAACCACTTAAGGGTTTCTGTCCCTTACAACCAAGAATATGAACTAATACAGATGGACACTTGGAGGGGCACCTTGTCAAAGGGCAAGTCCCAGCCAAGGGCAGCTGGGCGTGCCCAAGCACCCTCAAGGAGCTCATTCTTCCTTAGTGCCAGTGCTTGCATAGGGAGGGTGGCCCTCCTCAGAGATGGCTGGCACCTGTCCCACCAATTAGAGAAGACTTCCTGGGCTCCCGGCCCTCAGGCTCAGTCCCTCTCAGGGAAAAGGCAGAAAACCAAAGTGTGCTTGGCCCAATCTCATCCTACCCCAGGCTGGCCTCTTTTCCATGTTGCAGCCCCAGCCAAGGGAACTTCATCATACAGAGTCCAGAAGCTTTAATACACCAACAAACACAGCCTCTGGAGGCTTGGGGGCACCCCATTCCCTGACTGCCCAGATCCTTGGAATACCTCTGGCTGCCTCACCATGGTCTGCCCTCAAGAGCTCAGTGGTGCTGCAGGACAGTGGGGACTTACCAGGACTGTCAGCACAGAGGTCCCCACAGTGACGTTCTCGTACAGGCTGACGTTGTACAGTGGCTGGCTGAAGATGGGCCTGTTGTCATTCTCGTTGATGAGAGTGATCTTCACTTTGGCATAGCCCACATGGTCGGGCACACTCTCATTGGCAAAGAGCTGGGTGTGCAGAGTGGGGGCCCGGGTAAGCTCCCACATGTTCCCAGAGCCCTCATCCCCTCAAGTCTTCCTTGGGTGTTTGCCAGTCCCACCCCACAGCACCTGTTCAAGTCCTTGCCCATCCCAGCTGTGTGGAGGGAGGGGCCAGTGGGCTGGGCTGGCAGGAGACAGGCAGCTCCTGATGGGGTTTCTGAGGCTGGGATAGGGCCCCGTAAAATTCCACTCAATTCCTGGGCATATCCTCGTCCTCCTTGAAAAGGGGAGGCTGTCCAGCCTCTGCCGTCTCTCAGTGGGCTTCTCTGAGTCAGATCCACAAGGGAAAATGGGGGTAGGTGGGATTTTAGGTGTTGCCCTCCCAACTTCCTGCCCTGAAATTCCCCCACTTGGCCCATGGGGATGGCGAGGGGCCTTACGTCAAAGTCGTAGCGGTCCACGGTCTCATAGTCCAGGGGGATGGCCACACGGATGCGAATGTCCGCTTTCCCTTGGACGGAGGTGGGGGAGATGATGAAGTGGTGGGAGTTGTTCCCCACCAGGTACACCTCGAACATGCTTTTCAGGCCCTGCTCAAGGAGGGAGAGGAAACCAGTCAGAAAGGGCGCAGGAGGCTGAGGCTGGAGCCTGAATGGAGGCGCGGAGGGCACTGAGGGCCAGTGGGGAGCTGCTTTGGTGGGGTCCCTGCCCCGCAGCGGCCCTGGCCTCCCCTGCGTGATCCTGGCGTAGCTGCCGGACCCCACCTCCTGCCCAGGTCTAGCCCCCTGGAAGTCTCCTCTGGCTGTTTTTGACTTCATCATCCCGTCGATGCCCACAACATCCCTTCCAGGTGGTTTGGTTTGTCTTTCATCTCCTGCTCCCTTTCTCTGCCTCAGGGACCCCAACTCAGGGAGTGGGGGCCTGCCAGCCTCAAGACCCAGTGGGGAGATGGAGGAAAGAAGAGGGAGTGGAGGGAACGGGGCGGTGAAGAGGCCACTGGACATGAGGGGACATGCGGGATGAAGCAGTTGCTGCGTCCCCTTCCTTCCCTGGAACGTGCCGGGCGGGAGAACGCTAGTTCGCTTATACAAGGAATGGGAATAAGCCGGAAGACTGAGAGGCAAAGTTCCCCTCCCGATGAGTGTACCCACGCGGTGGCCAGCCCTGCAGTGCACGGTGGCCACACGCTTCGAGGGTTCTACATGTCCCAGTGGCCCAAGTCCATGGTTCCAGGGGTGAGGGAGCCTCCCATTAGTTCAGAAGTTTCTGATTGTTCTAACCAGGGCTGTGGCTCATATGCCAGAGCCCCTCATACGCCACCTTGTGACATCTCCCTGTTACTGACGTCCCAGGTCAGGAGGAGAAGCCATCGCTGAAGGTGGGAGATGTGACTTATTCGACCCCTGCAGTCTGGCCTGCTCAGAAAGTGGTTCGACTTCCTTTTCCTGCCTGCATGGGGGGGTGGGGGGAATTATCCACAAACTCCCCTCCAACTGGGTGGCTGGCCTGTGGTTTGTAAACAGTCATGAGGCTCCTCCTGGCCCTGCTGCAGGCGGCCAGTAGGTTACCACCCTGGGTGCTCAGTGCCAGGAGAGCAGTCCTCTTGCTCATTGTGAATAACGCCCCCCCTCCAACCCCCAGCCCAGTGCCCGGCACAGCCCCCGTGTGAATGGGCCCTTTTCTGTTGAACCTGTGGCTGGCAAAGGAGGCATGCCCTCTATTCTTGGTTGCCCAGGGGACTTTGAGGGGTTCCCTTCTGGAGCCTACTCCTGGTGAGAGGGGCAGCCAGGCAGCCCCAGCCCCCAAAGCCCTTATACGGTCCAAGGGAATGGTCCCTGGGAGGCTGGTTCCTACCCAATCCAGGACAGGGCACGCGGCCAGGAAGTAGCTCCTGCAGTGCAGCCTGAGCCTCCACAAGATTCTTAGGCCCCTGGAGTTGCCGCACAAGTGTGCGAATATAGTGTGGAATGAATGCATGTTAATATCTACCCATCAGTCTCTGGAGTTTTTTTCCATTTTACCAAATTGGCAAAACAAGGACAATTGTTGCATTTAGATTTTTCTTGGAGTGCAAGGCAGGCCTGGGCCCTGTCGCTGGTCCAGAGGGTTTGAACAGGGAGGTGGGAGCTGAGCTCCTTTAGCTCTCTCCTACCAATTCTGGGGTCCAGGCAAGTATTGGAGGCTCCAGAGTCCCCAGTCCAGAGTGGCTCCCTGTGGATTGTGGGAACAACCCTCCTCTGGACCTCTTGGGCTGTGGAGTTTCTAGTTCTCCCTGGCGTGGAATCCATCCCGTCAGATGGAGGGGACCAATTAAATGCCTGAAGGGGCACTAATAGCCAAAGCTGGCAGAGTGTGACAGCTTTAAACAGGTGACACCAACACCTCTCCCTCCCCTGAACCTCAGATCCTCAACCACAAGACCTGGAGGCCTGGGAGTAGGGGCAGGCTGAGCTGCGCCCGTGCCAGGGCAGAGCAATGCCCTCTGTGAAGCCCCCTCCCCATGATGCCCACCACGACTCCTCCCCAAGCCCAGCCCCTGCCCTTGCGAGGCTCACTTGCCAAGTTCTGTCAGTGGGAGGCGGTCAGTCAAAGGATATGGAGACAGAGAGAAGGAGCCGGAGAGGTATGGAGAGGAGGAAGGAACCAGAGAGAAAAGACGGTGAAATCCTGGGTCAGGGTAGGAAGGGGGGCCCAAGATGGACCCCAAGACCACACCCTGCTGTACAGGAGCAGCCCCCGCTGGCCTCTGATGGGCCACAGCTTCTGGGTCCTGAGAAGGGGTGTATGTGCGTGCATGTGCAGTGGGGAGTGGAGGCGAGGAGTGACAAGCGTGGGGCCCAGGAGGAGGTACAAGGGCACAAAGGCTGAGGAGGTCAGAGAAGGGTCCAGGGTCCCATCTCCCTGACCTCTCTCAGCTCTCACCCAGACGGCCACAAGGGTGGGCTGGGTGGAAGGCGCCATGTCCCCA